GCGGCTCTCCCATTGGATGAGCCATCAGTAAAAACTAACACAGCATCTTTTACAGGACTGCTTTTTATTATTTTGGAAATATAAAAGGATGTATTAGTATAAATTGTAACAGTCCATGAGCTAGAAACTGATTATTAATTCTTCCTGAAAACTGAGCAAAGGCAATCGCCCACAAATCATTGTTCTGAAACAACCAATTAAACTGTTGCTTGGCATAAAGTACATGTATCAGACTTAGTTTTCTCCTAAAATACTTCCTAGAATCCATATGGTATTTTTTTACCATGTAGGCTACTGTTTTAAAATAAGGGTTTAATGCTTAGGCTGTCGAGACAGGTAGGTGTAACCACCATAATGGTTCCTTTTGCCATAAAACAGAAGTTGGACTATGCTTTGTGGGGAGCACATAAGCTTTCCATGGTTTTGTATAGTCAATACAATATATTTGTTGATGCTGAATCACCTCCTCTAATTATAGAATTTGTCTACCTTCTTAGTTAGCAGTCTGGGTACATTTGGATCATTCTCCTTATAGAATCTTATTTAAAGGATTTAAATCATCATTAGATGCCCCCAAAAAGGTATTTAACCATTGAATATTTTATAACAACTTCTTTAAAATTTAAAGAAGTTAAACTTTTTCTAATTGCTATCTATTAAGCCTTAATTTCTTTAGAATACAACATATGTCTAACAATTTTTTAAGATTTATTTAAAGTTTCTAAGTAGTCTTTTCTAATCTAACCTTCAAAGCTGACAAGCTGATAAGACCTCATTTGCATCTTAGCTGACCTGGCCTAATTTGTATTTACAAAGACATAGTTAAGCTGTGAATCTAACAGGATGGCTCTCTCCTGAGGCTTTTCACAAACCCTTTTTAAAATCATGTATCAACTTTTATTTTCTAGATTTTCCTTTTCTAACCATAAAAATTTAGGAAGATCTGTATCCTTTCATCTGCCAAATTTTACAGAATCATCTATAGATTCCTCGTGTCTCTAAGCTAACGCTATAGGTTTTTGCTAACTTTTTTATTGACTATCCCCTAGGGCTCAAATCATTAATTTTTCCTGTTAAGACATTGACTGACTGGATGCTCATTTTGACTATATTAAAGTGACTTTCATATTTTTTAAATTATATCCAAGGCAATGTAAATATCTCTCTAATCATATCCAAGGCAATTTAGGTATTTCCATTCATCCACATTCATAAATTCACAATCACATCACACATCCAGGTGTAGCCACACTGTTCATTAATAACTTGCATACATCTCATATTTCTCCTTTTGCAAAGAAAAAGCCCTAATTGAAATTTCTCCTAACACAGTAGCTATAGTCAATCCTTGAAATATGAGCATCCAAAATTTGAACAGATCTAAGCTTAAATATGTTGCCCTTTCTTCTCTATAAGTCTCAAAAACAGTTTCTGTCTGGCTGTATCAATAGCATTTATATACATTATGGCATCAGCCATAGTGGCATCTCCCAAGGCTGTAAGTTATTCCCAGGAGCTTCAGGCTGTCCACCCCCCTGTCAGCCATTTTGCTCAGCCCGTTGCAGATGCTGGCATGAGGTAGCACCAAGTCACTGGCTGAGGGCCGGCAGACCGCAGCTGCTGCCACAGCTGACCTTGGCTTTAGCTCGACTATGCCTTCTGGGCAGCTGGAAAATTTGCGGCTGTATTTTGGGCACAAGCCTGAACCCCTATTCTCTCTTTTGTTGGGACTCTGTCTGACCTGGTGCCCTTCCTGTACATGTCTAAAGCAACCTCTAGAAGGCTCTGTGCATTTCTTCTTCCCTATGCCTTGCTTTCTCTCTAGGAATAACATATTATTAACTGAAGTTCCTGTAAGGCAGCCACCATTGCTAATACCTGAGTGTAAGCTAGGTCCATATCTGAAAAAATCTTAATGAACTCACCTATGTCAGTCCTCTTCCTGTGAGGCCTTACAGTGGCCTGGCATGCAGTACCAGCATTTTCATAAGCTAGCTGTTTCACAATCAAAGTTCCAACACCTGTGTCTCTAACTTTTTTGTATAATGTCCACACAGGCCTAGAAACCAATTCTGAACTAACTCCCTAGGTCCCTGCCTGCTCTCTATAACAAATATCCTCTTCCTGACCAGCAGGTCTTGGTTACCTGCTTTCAATTTCCTAGGGGTGAGGCTTCTACAGCAATATTCCCTATCAGCCTCTGGGTAAAAATTGCTGTTGGTCCATACTGGACATAAGCCAATTTTAGTTCCTTGAGCTGTTTGAATGGTATTGGCACATGTATACTCCTATGTTCTCCTGAGCCTTTCTCTCTCTGATCCGAGGAAACCTGTAAATTTCTTATCTCCTGTAAGCAATTTCACTAAAATTTCCAAGTGTCTTAGCTTTTGCTGAGTTTTACCATTATTTGCCTTTCTGTATTCCCAGTTTAAAATGAAGGAAGTGAAGACTCCTTCCATCTAGGTACTTATTAATTCTCTATCCCTGCTCATCCCAATCATTTGTCCTGTATATTCTTTACCATCTAGCTGCCCCTTAGTAGGCGTGGAGTTTTCTGTTCTCCATTACATTCCTAGATATCTCCCGAGGGCCTGCGTGTATGCGAGGCGGCACCTATGTCTTCCCAAGCCCCTGCGCAACTCGAAATGCTGCATCATGGCAGTGGCTTTTGCAAGTGGGAAGGATCCTTTTAAAACTCTAAAAACTCTAAAATCTCCTGTACTTGCTTTCACTTTGTTTTAGCTCTCCTGGCTATTAAACTATACCCAAGTAAATAAATATACAATCATCTGACTAACAATTACCTGCCTGATTTCTCTAACTATATACATTTTACTTTCAAAGCTAACTTACTTCTCTTTACCATCTGGCTAATATTCCTGTTTCATATTTACAATTACCTGCATTTTTCATTCTGGAGTTTAACGCATTGCATTTTACCATTTTGTCATCTGACTGACATTTCAGTCTCACATCTACTTTGTGCAGTTTCTCTTACTTTAAGGGTTAAATAACCTGCTTTACCTATTTTCGTCAGCTGCTGGCTGACATTTTCATCTTATATATATTTTGTGCACATTTCTGCTTTAAGAGTTAAATAACCCGATTTATCTTTTTTCGTCAGCTGCTGGCTGACGTCTTCCTATTTTATATTACACGTATCTATTTTCTATTTCTACAATTATATACAGTTTTATTCCTGACTTAACGCTGTTCACTCACCACATTCGGCCACTTCTTTCTTCTTTTTTTCTGCGTGTGCTTCTTCTCCCATCGGTTCAACCTCGATGACTATCTCTTAGAAGTGTCCATGCCTCTGCCTTGCCCATTGCTTCTTTGGTGTTCGTTTCTTCGTGGTGTCCATGGCTTCTTCCCCCGTTCTCAGGCCCCACGTTAGGTGCCAGTTTGTCGTGACTCAGCATGTCTCAGCCTTAACCCATGAGGTTCAGCCTGTGTGGGGGTGTGTGGACCTGGAAACTCCAAGCAACCCAGCGGCGACCAAACACAGGTATCTTGTCATTGTCAAGTGATCACTCCGCAGGCAATCGGGCAAGGTTTCTTTATTCAGCTACACCAGCCAAGCGCAGGCCAAAGTGAGGAGGAGGGAGCCGGAACCAGGGCCAGCAGAAGGGGAAGAGGGGGGTCCACGTGTCCCTGGTCCCTTAAGAAGCCTTTTCTAAGTCACCTTAGACTTCCCCTCTCCCCGCCCTCACGTGCATGTTCCGGCACACCTGTCCGGGTTACCTGGGGCGGGGCCAGAGTGTCTCCCTACATGTCTTCTTTAAAGAGCTCTCAGTTCCATGTTGTAAAACTAGAGTCTTTTTTTTATTTGCCATCTTTTCGACTGTTTCTTACCCATCCTGCCATGACCTCGAGGAAACCATTTCTGTCCTTCTTCTCATCTCTGGTCGCTAGCCCCTAACTCTCCTTAGTTCCTTATACCTTGTCTCTCTGCCCAGGTTCAGGCCTATCCAGATGCTTAGGCCCATAGATATGCAAAACCAGGAGGCATCCTATAGTGAGGCTATGGTAAACAATAGTAGATTTGCTAGTATTAGCAATACAATAGTGGGCTGGAGCTTTCTGGTGCTCCTGTTTAGTGAAACCCAAGGCTGGATCTCAAAATTTTCCATAGCAGAACTATTTTGGTCCCCACACCTGACTCGTCTTCAAGGGTGCAAACAGCTTTCATTTGAAGTCCCCCACAGTTACAGGTTCTACATGAGAGGAAGGAGTTGTGTGCTTGAATAATGATAAAACAGACTTTTATTTTGAACAATAACAGGTAGGCTTTTATTTTTTTTCCAATAAGTGTTTAAGAACAAAGCATTTCATGTGCAAGTTAAATCTGTAAGCCAAAGATACATTCAGCTATTCATTTTCAGCACAGTTTTAAATGAGTTCATTTTATAGCTAAGTAAATGTTAAAATTCTACAATGCAATGCCAAGGCTTTTGCCTGAAGCAATGCCCAGGACTGAGAGAGCTGTCTGTATTTTGTCACACAGGCACACACGACCCAAACCCAGAACCATACGCCACATCACAACCCACAACTCTGCAGAACAATCCAGCCCCAGCTGTGCACAAATGCAAAGAACCCATTCCCCAAATAACTCCCAGCACCCACCTAAGACACCAGCCCTACCACTGTGAGATGGGTGACTGTGTGGAAGGTGCCGATTACAAATGCACCTGTTGTCATGAAATCCACACTAGAGCAGGGTTGAGCACCAAAGTCTACACCACAACAGAGAACTTGTCATTGAAGGTACAGAGTCTAAAAAACAAAGCTTCCCTAATGCTGTGAAGCTTTCCGTTAGGCTAGCCCTTTGGGCTGCTGTGAGGGGACCAAGCCTGAGAAAAAGGCCAGGACCCCTCTGCCCCCTGAGAAGCTCAGCTCCCCTCCCCATCCCTTGATACTTCTGCCCTGATAGCATCTTCAATTCTTGTGTGCTACCCCCAACTTCAGCTCCAGTCTGCTTCCTGGGCAGCCATTACTTAGGATTGGTTCTCAGCCTGGCATCCAGTAGATGGCTCTGGGGTGGGTGGGGGGCAGTCTGTGGTTTGGGGGGGTCGGCATTCCTGCTGCTGCAGGCGCTGCCTCCCCCGGGCCAGGGCCTCCAGGTACCACTGCTGCTCCTTCCACTGTTGTGTTCTCTGCTCCAGCTTCTTCTTTCTGGCTTCCAGCTCAAAGAGTTCCTCATCCAGCTGCTGGAGCTTCGTTCGCAGAAGCCTATTCTCAATGTCGACATGATGACACAAGTTCTTGTGAGCCTTTTTGGCCTTAACCTCCAAGGCCTTGGCCTTCTTCTTCAGCTCCCTGGTGATGTCCTCTCCTGACTCCAGTAGGTTCAGCTCCTCCACTTGTTTCTCCAGGGCGGCCCTTTCCTTCAGGAATTGGAAGTGTGCCTTTTGGTCCACGAAGGGCAAGTCAGCTATAATTCTGGCTTTCTCCAGCTCTAAGGCCTCTATCTCCCTGTCCTGGGTCTCCTTTATCTGTGCAATGGGATCCAGGTCCTTCAGCTTCTTCCTCAAGCCAGCCTTCATCTTCCTGCCCTGTGCCAGCTGCTTCTGGAGGTTGGCTGTTTGGGAGGTGAAGGTAGAGACCAGCTTTCTCCTCCTGTCCTTGATGTCCTGACTCTGCTGGATGTAATCTTTCCACAGGAAGTCGTATTTCTCCTGGGCTCTCTCGTTTCTCTCCTTCAGGTACTCCAGGAGGGGCTTGTTTTCTGCTTCCTCGAATGCTCTTTCATCCTGCAGCTCCCTAGTGTCCTTCAGCAGCACTGCCCTGCGGAATCTAACGGCTTCCATCTCCTGATTCAGCTGTTTCATGGCCACCAGGGTCCTCCTCCTCACCCTCTTCTCCAGTCGGGTCATCAGTTCAGGCCTCAGATAGTTTTTGAGAATCCTCATGTGAGGGTGAGGAGGACCTGACAGGGCATCCATCAAGTAGGCAGGGGATCCTTGGGAATCCTGGAAATCGCTGTGGCTGCTGGCCTGCTGTTTGAGGCTGATGCTGCCTCCTGAGGAGAAAGGGGTTAGGTTGTGGACCCTGTCAAGGGGCTGCAGCCCGGGTTGTGGTAGGTCCTCTCTCTGTGCCTCCTGCTCCCTACAGACTATCTCTGGCCACCTCACCCTGAAGTCACACATGGCCCTCTTCTTGGTCAAGGGAGGCCTGTACCTCCTTTCATGGGGTGTCAGGAAGTCAGCCTCATCTTGAGCAGGGAGTGCAGAGAGCCCCAAAGGCTTGGCCCCTTCTCTTTGGGGGAAGATGGTGGCACGCCTGCCCCTTGTGTTCCAGCTGGGGTAACCTTGACCTTGGGACTCCATAGTCCCTTCAGCTCCTGGGGGCAGAGCTTGCTCCTTCAATGATCCCACCCATCCATTCTCTAGGTCCCTCAGTCACCACCTTTCCTACATTGCCCCAGCTCTGGGCAGATGACTGCCTTTGTCCAAGTCTTAGAACCAAATGTGTTCTCTGCACTATGAGGGCTCAGAATGTGGAATGCTCTAGGAGTCTCCAGTCCTTTGGCTTGCTATGGCCTAGAAGGTGAATTTCAGGGAGAGAGGGCTTTGCCTGCTGGAGAGAGGGAAGGACCTGCTGGGAGAGGGCGTGGTCCGAGGGAGGGCGTGGCCTATAGGAGGGTCCTTAGGGTGGTGGGCCGGGCTTTAGGAAGGGCATGGCCTATAGAGGGAAAAGGACCTGCCAGGAGAGATGGGAGGGACTTGAGGAGGAAAGACCGGACCTACCAGAGGGCAGTGGCTACAGAGGAGGTGAGGGCAGGGCCTGGATAGACCCTGGGCTTGGAGCTGTAGGCTAAGGTACAAGGTTGGAAAACAAGCTTCATCGACTGGAGCCTATGGCGAGCCGCACCAGGACTTTCTCAGCCAGGCAAGCTAGGAAGACCCTTTGCACCCGTGACCTACACTGTGCGGGCTGAACAGGGGCCCTGGGAGGGAGGGAAGTTGCCAAGGGCCGAGAGGCTCCAGGCTCCTGGCTCACCTTCGCTGTGTGGTTTGGGTGCAGTCTGGGTCTGTTCCTCGGGATTCCGACTCCCTCCATGCTCACTGGGTTCACAGCGGCATGAGCACCCTCCCGATGCCATGGCTGGTGTTGAAGCATGGGGCTTGCACTGCAAGCTACCTCAGTTTCCCAGGAAGGGAAAGCCGCCCCAGAATTGTGCCCTGTGCAGCCACCTTGGTCCCGCAGTTACAGTGAAAGTTGAGAAGGCCCAGAGTGTGGAATGACATGGAGGAGGATGACCTCCCATGAGCAGAGCAGCTGTGGAGTCTTGGTCCCCAGCACCGCCCCTGCACTGGTTGACTCTGCTGTACAGGACAGCTGAGGGACTTCCCTAGGGAAGAAGAAATCACTTGCTTGTGGCACAGGTGGTTTCCTGCCTCTTAACAAGGAGACCCATAGGAGTAGCCGGAAGCAGGGAGACGAGTACATCTCTCTTAGAGCCTTGGAAGGAGGCTTCTGGGACAGGCCTTGTGTACCTCATGCCCTTCTCTGTGTGCTACCACTAACCTTGTCTCCTACCCTGCTCCCGGGCTTTTGGGTCTCAGTTCAGCACTTCTGTGTGTGCAGACAATGACTAGGTTCCTGGGAAACGTTAGTGAAAAGGAGGAGAGGGTGAACAAGGAGGAGAAGCCGCAGAGAAAGTAAGGACACTACCCGCACCTTTAATTCCAGCGCTGGGAGCTGGTGGCAGAGGCAGGCAGAGCCCTGTGATTTTACTGCTAGCCTCATCTATAGAGCTAGTTCCAGGGCCACACAGTGAGACCTCATCCCAAAAGGAAGAAAGAGGGGAAGGGAGAGAAGGGGAGGAAGGAAAAGGAGGGAGGGAAAAGGAAGGAAGGAAAGAAGGAACCTTCCAGTGACATATGGCAAACACAGGTTTCTGTGAACTCGGAACTCTCTGGCATCATTAACCATTACCTGGGTCCTCAGTGTCATTTTAGATCTGAAATAGCGGTCCTTCCAGGACTGCTCTTTGCTCAAGACTACTTTGGCTATCTGGGGTCCTTCATGGTTCCACATAAAATTTAGGATTTTTGTTTCTATTTCTGTGAAGAATGTCATGAGAATTTTGAGTGAGATTGCAAGGAATCTGTAAATTTCTTTTGGTAGAGTGCGATTTAAATACTAAGCACGAGATGCCTTTTTTTTTTTCTAGACTCTTCTTCAATCTCTTTTACCAGAGACAAGAGTTCATTATAGAAGTTTATCAACTCCTCGATTAGGTTTCTCCCTTGATATTTTTGAGGCTATTGTGAATGGGAGTGTTTCCATGGTTTCTTTCTCAAAACCTGTGTTATCAGCACATAGGTAGGCTTATTGGTTTTGTACGTTGATTCCATACCCTGACACTTCACTGAAAGTGTTCATTTCTTTCCATTTCTAGAAGCTTTCTGATGGAATTTTGGGGACCTTTTATGTATAATATCATAACATCTAGAAATAGGGATAATTTGACTTTTCCTATTTGTATCCCTTTAATTTCCTTCTCTTGCCTTATTGCACTGGTTGGTAGTTCAAGAATTATATTGAAAAGAGTGAGGATCATGGACAGCCCTGTCTCATTCCTGGTGTTAGTAGAATTCCTTAGAGCTTTTTCTCCATTTAGGAAGATGTTAGTGGTCATTTGTCAAACAGAACTTTATCATGAAGGCATGTTGGATTTTATCAAAGTTCTCTTCTACATCTATTTGGGTGATAATGTGAGTTTTGTATTTAGCCCATTTGTATGATCAGTAGATCATATGATTTATTGATTTATTTATGTTGAGCCATCTGTAACGATAAGTCTTTACGCCATCCACCCGAGTTCTGCCCACCACCTGGGCACCCAAATAACATACAGAGACTTATATTAGGTACAATGCTGCTGGCCAATGACTAGGATTTCTTATATGCTTACTCTGTCTTAAGTATCAACCATAGCCATAATCTATATATTTATAAAGACGTATCTGATTGAAGACACGAGCTTGTCAGGCTCACATGGAGGCTCTAGAGAAGAAAGGAGGAGGAAGAGGAAGAGAGCGATTTCCTGCTTGTCCCTGCTTATATTCTGAGTCTTCCTGCTATGTCACTTCCTGCCTAGATCACAAGACTTTACTACATTTCCCAGAATCCTTCTTGACTCCTAGTCCTTCCTAACTTGCTGCCTCACTGGTTATTCAACAACAAATAGGATAAACATATACACAAAAGAACTTACCCATCAGCCATCTCTATATCTCTTGGACTAAGCCAACTTGATCATGGTGGATGGTCTTTTCTTAATATATGACTGTATTTAGTTTGAAGATATTTTATTGAGGATCTTTATATCTATGTTCATCAGGAATATCGGCCTGTAGCTTTCTCTATTTTGTTGTGTCTTTATGCATTTTTAGAATTAGAGTGATACTGGCTTCATAGAAGGAGTTAAGGGGTATTCCTTCTGGTTTTAGTTTGTTTGCTGTTTGTTTTTTTAACTTAAGAAGTATGCCTTACAGATCCTTTCTGAACATCTGGTAAAATCCCATGTTGAACCCATCTGTGCCTGGACTTTTTTTTTAGCCAGAGGGCTTTTCATTTGTGTTTCTACCTCCTCTTCAGTTATTTAGGTTGTTGATCTCTGACTTAACTTTGGAAGTTTGGATGAACGTAGAAATTCATCCATTTCTTGTAGATTTTCTAACTCAATGGAGTACTGGTTTTTAATGTTACCCTTCTATAGAAATTTGAATTTCTTTGGTGTCTGTTGTAATGTTTCCCTGTTCATTTCTGATTCTGTTAATTTGGGACCTCCCCTTCCTTCCTTCCTTCCTTCCTTCCTTCCTTCCTTCCTTCCAACCTTCCTATTGGTTAGTTGGATCAAGGGTCGTTTATCTTCACAAAGCACCAGCTCTTAGATTCAATGATTCTTCCTACTGTTTTCTTTGTTTCTTTTCCATTAATTTCTTCCCATCTTCTGGATTTGGGTTTGGTTTGTTCCTGTTTCTCCAAATTCTTGAGCTGTATCATTAAGTCATTTATTAGTGCTTTCTGATTTTTTTTTTAACATAAACACTGGAGCTAAAAGCTTCCCTCCTTAGACTGTTTTCAGTGTGTCCCAGAGGTTTTGTTGCATTGTGTTTTCATTTTCCTTTAATTCCAGGAAGGTTTAAATTTCTTTTTCTTCTTCAACCCATCCATCACTCAGTAATGTGTGGTTTAATTTCCATGGGTTTTTACTACAGATTCATTTGCCTTTGGCTTTAAGCTTTGTAGCATTGTGGTCAGACAGAATAACACAGTTATTGCTGTTTTCCTCAATTTGTTAAATTTGTTTTCTATCCTATGATGTGATCTATTTTAGAGAGGTTTTGTTTGCCTGCTGAGTAGAATGTATATTCTTCAGTGTTTAAATGGAATGTTCTGTAGGTAATTTTTGGGTCCACCTAATTTTGATGTCATTTAATTCTGATGTTTCTCTGTGTATTTTTGGTTCAGATGTCCTGTTTATTGGAGAAACTGGGGTGTTAATTACTCACTTATTAATTACTGAGTTGGAGCTAATCTGTCTCTTTAAGTCCACTAGTATACTATCTGTGAAACTAAGACATATATGTTTAGGGTGGTAATGTCTTCTTGGTTAATTCCCTAATAAAATGAAGTGTCCTTGTTATCTCTTCCATCGTATTTTGGTTTGAAATCTATCTTGTAAAATAGCAACACCTGCTTATTTTCCTAGTCCTATTTGCTTGGAGTACTTTTGTCTTCCCTTTCACTTTAAGGGGGTTCTGGCTTTTGAAGGCACGGTAAGTGTCTTGTAGACTTGAGAAGATGGATGTTGTTTCTTAACACATTTGGCCAACATGTGTCTTTTGATTAGGGGGTTGAGGCCATTCATATTTCAAGTTATTATTGAAAGGTATATGACCCTGGGTATGGTGGCACACACCTTTAATTCTATTACTCTGGAGGCAGAGACAGATAATCTCTGTGAGCTCAAGGCCAGCCAGGGCTACATTATGGAACCTTTCTTTTCTTAAAAAAAAAAATTAAATTAAAAAGTCGGGGTGGAGGGGAAGAAAGGTATGTGCTGGTGCTGCCTCTGTCTTTGTGTGTGTGTGTTCTTAGTCCTATTTTGTGTTTCAATGATTATACTTTTGTTTCTTTTCTACAGTGTCTTGGCTATGCTTCTTCCTCTATTCAGTCCAAAGTATTGCTTCCAGTATTCCTTGTAGAGTGGGTTTGGTGGACATGAATTATTTTAGCCTCTTCATAACATTTTGGAAGTTTTTTTCCCTCCTTTAGCTATGTCAGATAGCTTTTCTAGGCACAGTAGCCAATGCTGGCATCTGTGATCATTCAGAATTTGAAGTACATTGCTCCAGGCCATTCTGGCTTTTAATGTTGCCATTGAGAAATCTGTTGTTTTTCTGGGTTTCCCTTATAAGTGTGACTTGTGATTTTTCTCTTCACAAAGAAGCTTTCAATAACCTCTCTTTGTTCCATTATTTTTAGTGTTTATGCTATGCTGTGGGGAGTTCCTTTTCTTGTGTGTGTGTGTGTGTGTGTGTGTGTGTGTGTGTGTGTGTGTGGTTTGGGCAAGTTTTCTTCTATGATGTTGTTGAACTTTTTGTAGTGTCTTTTCATTTTGTCTTTTCTTAGTGTCTTGAAGTTCCTGCAAATGTCTTTTGACTGCTTTTAAACTTGTTTATGTTCTTTGCCTGAGTCACCTAATATCTCTACTTTATCTTCAAGTCCTGATAACTGTCTTTTACTTGCTTCGTTCTGTTTATTGGGCTTCCACCGAATTTTCTAATTTAGGTTAATGAGTTTTTCAATTACTTCAGCTGGAGTCTCTCCATTATTTCAACCTCTTTATTCAACTTGGGTTTCGAATCCTAAATTGTCTTCATCGTTTCACTTGGCTGTGTGTGTGTACTTTCTTGGACATCATTGCTAATCTTTTCAAATTCATTAAGCTGTGTATTTGTTTCTTTAGATTCCTTGTGTTCTGTGTTTAAATTTTATGATTGTTCTTGTAAATTCTGTGCCCTGGAGTTCATCCTGGTAATTCTTACTGGAGAACGATTTTATGGTGGATGGGAGGAAGGGGGAGTAGTGACTGTGATATACTATACTGGCCCTTCATATTTGTGTTTTTGTGCTAAGATCTGGACACACAGACATCTGTTGGTTATGTGTCTAAAATGAGATTTTAGGCAGCTTCTATGGAGAGAAGACTTGTTTTTGTTTGTTTGTTTGTTTGTGGATTTTTGGTTTTGCTGTTGCCCAAGCTTGATTGATTTCAGTCAATTAGACATGAGGAATTGGTAGGCAATGCCTTCAGTTGATTGGTGGTAATTCTGATTGTAGGGATGATGGTGATTCCAATTAAGGGGTGATCAAGAAAACATGCAATGGACAAATGGTTGGATCTATTCAGGTGTTGCTACCTGAGCTCTATTGGGGAGTGTGAGTGTGGTATGGGTGAGGTCTTGGGCACACACCTGGCTAAGCTGACATACAATCTGTGCAGTAGGCTTAAGGTTTGGGGTGGTGCAGGCAGGCAAGCTGGCTAGGGTCTGGAGACTCACTAGACTGAACCAGTGCGTGGGATGTGCTAAGTTTGCAGGTTAGACATGGCATGTGTGGCCTAGCATCTAGTGATGCACCAGACTGAACTGGAGCACAGGAGATGTGACCCATGCTAGGTCTGGAGGTTGGATATGATATCTGGGAATTGGGGAGCAATATGGTCTCAGCAGGCTAGACTAGTGCACAGAATGGGCTACCAGGCCAAAGCCTGGAGGTTGGGAAGGACACAGGAGGGGATCAGCAGACTATCCTAGTGTACGGATGTGAGAGTCTGGCTAGGTCTGGTGACAGGGGAGAATATAGGTAGGATAGGGTCAGGTAAAATCAGTAGGCTTAACAAGAGCAAGGGTGTATTACCCAGGCTAGGCCCAAAGGTTGGACATGGTACAAGCAAGCTAGGGTCAGGCAGACATACTAGGGGCATGGCTTCAGGTGTACAGATGTGACCCCTTATAAGGAAGAGAAGGGGCTGGCTTACTCTCTTGGGTTGTGGTGAGAGCATCAGAAGGACAGAGACTGTATCTTCAGGAGCAGGGAGACTGCAGCAGTTACTTACTATTATTTGTGTGAGTGTTTCCTGAAGAAATACCTGTTTATCATTTATCTTGGGTCTTGTGGACTCATTTAAACCCTGCCTTCATATTTCACAAGCTCTGTTCCAGAACCCAGCCATCTATAGATCTGCTTGTCGTGTTGATAGGAAGAAGCAATGTGTCCTGGTCCCATTTGCCATCTGGTCTACCTCAGCCCTGCTTCCTAGCCTGGGGCCTGACACATGGCATGTCTGAAGGAATTATGTTTCCCTGAAGAGGTGGCTTGGTGTTTATGCAGACAGGCGCCTGCAGTGATTCCCTCCTCTTCTCTCTGCCCATCAAGCCTGAACCTGAGCAACAGTGACATCCTGACCATCTATGATGGTGATGAGGTTGTGCCCCATGTCCTGGGCCAGTACTTTGGCAACAGCAGCCCTCAGAAGCTATACTCCTCCACACCGGACCTCACCATCCAGTTCCACTCGGACCCTGCTGGCCTCATCTTTGGCAAGGGCCAGGGATTTATCATGAACTATATAGGTAGGTATTTCAATCCATCAATCTTGTTTGTGTTGGAGGGACATTGTGCATGGTGGTTTCCTGTGGGTCTGTCTGTGTGGATGCTTTGTGACTGGTGGACCTGTTATTGCACTAGCATAGTTGTTGCATGTGGGTTTAAGAGCATGGGCTCTCTAGTCATGAGGACCAAGGTTTATATCCTAGCACTGTATGGAGGGCTGTGTGACCTTGTGTGAGTCAGAAAACCACTCTGAGCACCCTCCTCTCATGAGCAAAGTGGAAACATTGAGGAAGTGAATGTAAACATTTATCAAATGAGGCCTTATAACGCTAAGGCTCATCCTGTTTCCTTGGGTGTCAGCCGTAACTCCACAGCACACTCCTATTTCTCTCTATTTGCAACTTGTCAAGTGTCATCTGCTCCCTATATCCTGACCTACAGCCAGCTCTTCCTGAGGACACCCCTTCTTCCGAGTCACGGCACAGGGCAGCTCTGCCTTCACATGCTTCAGGGTCTGGGCAAACAAGCAGGGTACATCTTCCTTGGTTCTCAGTGTGACTGAATTATTCTTGATAAAAGAAAGAAAAAAGAAAAAACAGTGTATGATCAGGTTCAAGGCCAGTTCACATCTCACCCTCCACCACCACCACCATCATCACCATTGCCATTAGCATCACCATCCCCACCACCACCATCACCACAACCCACAAAACCACAACTACAGTAACCACCACCACTTATGCAACCACAGTCACCAAAAATAGTCCCTCAGCTACAACTACCACAACCACAACTATACAACCACCAATACCATAGCCACAACACCACCAGTACTGTGATCACATTCATCACTGCTACCATCACCACCATCATTATCACCATCTTCACCACCATCACCACCACCATCACCACCACAACCAACAGCAGCAGAAATGTCCTTTTCCAGGAAATGGGACAACATTCCTGTTTTCAGGTGGCCTCTTCTTTCCTTGCCTCCATCCATCCATCCTCTCAACTCTGCTTTCACAGCATGTCTCAGTTCCACATCTCCACGTTCCTCCAGGACCACCCCTTTGGTCCACCACCATCCACAGCAGACAAGAGAGTAGAGCCCCGTGACATCCTGTTTCCCCAGCCATGAAGAGACTTGGGCAACCGGCAGAGCCCCTGGTCCAACCCTATCTCATCATGATAGAAGTGGCCCTGGATCCATGGAGGTGGGGAATTTGTATATCAGGGCAGAGATGGAGATCACATCCAGGTAGTCTCATTCCCAGCTCTTTGAGTCCCTCATTCTATGATGTTCTTGGTAGATGCAGTGCACCTGAGGGCGCAAGGGATGACTAACTGAACTTCTGGTATCCGGGATGGTGGAGACACATACATCGTGGTAACAAGGTTCAGCTGGTGGTTACAATCTGTACTGGCTCCTCCCAGGAACTGGCTTGGCATCTTAATTTTCAGGACACAGCAGGGAAACAGAGTACTCACGCTGCCAAGCACCTGATTTCTACCTCAGGCTAGATAACATTATACATCATTGGCCTGGGAAATGTCTGGCCTCTGTTTAACATCAACCTTCTTTTCTGTGTTTCTCCTGATATCTAAGTTGACAAACCATGCCGCTGACTACAAACGCCCCAGAAGCCTGGCATGTGTCAGACAGCAGTGGTTGTTTTGGGCTTCCCAGATGGTGAGCAGCCTTTGCCCTTGTCTGCCCTGCCCCTGTTACTCTTTCCAAGAGGCTAAGGAAGGCAACCATCCTCTGGGTTTGGCTTCTTGTTCTGCAAACATCCTGGGACGTCACTGCTGCTGCTCCCGAGTTCTTTTGCAGAGGCACAGATGGACACCTTTCTGATCAGCGGCCTTGGAGGAAGGGGTTTTAGTGGCTTGGCTCCCATCTATCTCCAGAGAGTTCCCCTCCCTCCCTGCTGAAAGATGAAGACATCCTATGCTTCCTCTATCCCCCGGTGTGGGAGACAATGTTCAGAACAGCATCAGCTGGGTGGCAAAGCTCTGACTCCATTCAAGCTGATCAAGGTGACCCAGCATCTGGCCAGTGCTCTTTGGCAATGTCTTAAAGTGTTCTTGTATGCTGAACTTGAAGCCGAGCATCCTGTGGCAGTTCAGCACTGGCAAGTCCTGCCATGCATGTTAAGTGTCCATTCCTCATGGTTAGGGGATAGTAAATGAACTCCAACCTATGAGACGGCAGTGACAAAATGAAGACTGAAGGGTTCCACTTGGCTCAAAGGGAGTGATTGATAGGTGATGTCCGATACACACAAGAAACAGGCACATGGTGCTACATGTTAGATACTTCCAGGCATTTCTTTTGCCCAGAGGTTGGTTGGGCCCTGGTTCTAGCTTGACCATGAACCTGCTGCAGTCATGATTTCAGATCCTTAGCACCAGCCTTCATAGACCCATAAGCAAACACACAGAGGGATCCATACATTTTTGTCAGGGCTATGTCCATGTTAGTTAACCCTCATATTACCATGTGGGGTAGATAGGTTGTGTGATTCTTGACCTCGTTCTGCAGATGACGACAGTGAAATTGAATGTGTGGCTGGAGCTGCACAGCTTCCTTAAAAAAGGAAACGGACCAGGCTGGGCTCTGGGTCAGTCAACAGAGTGCTGGCTTGACATGAATGAAATCCTAAGAGCCAGGCATGATGGTATATGCTTTTAATGCTAGCACTCAGGAGACAGATGTACATAGATTTCTGTGAGTTTAAGACCAGCCTGGTCTATATAGCAAATTCCAGGCAAATGAAGGCTGCATAGTGTCTTTTTTTAAATTTTTCATGGTGTCTTTTTCTAAAGAGGGGGAGAGAAGTCTTGGGTTCCATCCCAGAGTTGTGCACAGCTGTGACCCCAGAATTCAGGAAGATTAGAGGTTCAAGGTCACCTTCAGATATATAGTGAGTTCAAAGCTGGCACAGGCAACATGAGACTCCATGAAAGAGGAACAGAGTGGAATGAGAGAGAGACAGAGACAGAGACAGAGAGACAGGGAGGATAGAGAGAGAAGTGAGAGGGATAGAGAGAGAAGGTAGAGGGAGAGAAAGAGAGAGAGGAGAGAGGGGTTTGTCTGGGTCTCCTTGCTCATAGAGCTAACAAGGTCCTATGAGGATGGACAGTTTGGTGCCTCCATGCTGCCTTCTGGGAAAAAGCAGAGTCTCCAATTTTCCTGGTAGTGGCCTCTGAAAACTGAAGAATGGCAAGTGTAGGCAACTCAGCCATGGTCAGCCAGGTAGGGAATGGTGCCAACTAAGTAAATTCTGAATGTGACTCCTGTCACACAGTAGACAGAGTCCTCTACAGGGTGTGGCATGGCAGCTCCCACTGAGGGTCAGATGGGCAAGCCTTTCTGTCTGAAGGCATTTGGCCAGAGAAAGCTGGCAGTGCCTGCTCTGTTTCTTCCTTTCCATCCATCTTCTGGCATGTGCACCTAAGTCCCAAATCCAGTGCTTGGCTGATTTTTCAAAGCCCTAAAAATAAGGGTCCCTGCTCTTGTCCAGAAAAACTCTAGAAGCAATTTCCCTGTCCCCTTCCTTCAGACATCCAGAAGAGGTCCTTTCTCAAAAAAAAAAAAAAAAATGAAGAAGAAGAAGAAGAAGAAGAAGAAGAAGAAGAAGAAGAAGAAGAAGAAGAAGAAGAAGAAGAAGAAGAAAGAAAGAAGAAAAAAGAAGGAAAGAAAAGAGAAAAGAAAAGAAAAGAAAAGAAAAGAAAAGAAAAGGAAAAAGGAAAACTGGCCTGAAATCCTGGGGAAAGCCCCTGCCGGCTGCTCAGAGTGACTTTCCTCAGACAGTCGAGGCTACTGCTGTCCCTAAAAGTATATAAAGCTGTTTCAGATCTGCTCGATGTGCAGTCTGACACAAGGACAGTAAGAGTGGGGTTTGGATCACCTCAGTGACAGGTCTGTAGGAGGAGAGGGCCCCAACTCAGTGGTGCCTTTGAGTGTCCCTGGTTGTGGCAAATGTTTTCCAGCAATGTGCAGCTTGAGCTGAGAAATTTGTGAGCAGTGGCTTTCACTCCATGGTAAGCTATTGTCTCACAATGAATTGATCCTCCGCAGGCTCAGGTAGCAGCTACAGTGCACCTTACTCGAAGCCTTAAACTGCTTTCCCCAAACCTAAGGAAGATGTTTTGTTTTAAAGAGGTGTCACGGAACGACTCCTGCTCAGACTTGCCTGAGATCCAGAATGGCTGGAAAACCACTTCCCACACAGAGCTGGTCAGGGGAGCCCGGATCACATACCAGTGCGACCCAGGCTATGACATCGTGGGGAGCGACACCCTCACCTGCCAGTGGGACCTGAGTTGGAGCAGTGACCCCCCATTTTGTGAAAAAAGTAAGAGTCATTTTATTTTCTCCCTAAGCCACTGGGTGGAAAGTCCCTCCCAAGGGCACACGTCACATGGAATCAACCCTACCTATTTAAGGTAGGAGCGGTAGGTTACCTTGGCAAATGAGAGCATGTCCAGTCTGCGTGAAAGTGACGCTGAATCTGTAGTGTCTGTAGAGCCAACTGAAGCAAGTCAAAACCATCCTGCTCCAGTTCTAAGCTCCCTCCACAGGCAGCCAGCCTCCTTCCTACTGACTCCTGGGTGCTGCCCCAGGAATGCAGGCCCCTGTTGTGAAAGGGGAATAAAAAATGGAGGAGCTTCTAGCTTCTTGCTGATGGCCTACAGCAACAGGAGGAGCTGAGCTTAGACCCACCTCCTGCATCAAACACCCAACCCAAACTCTGCACATCAGGGACCTCCAGGTGACAGTTTATTGTTCCTGTACCAGAAGATTAGAATCAGCACAGCTCAATAATGAGTGCTGGCAGAGGGCCAAGGTGATGAGGAAGGGACAGAGCAGGGATCAGGCCACCTAAGGAAAAAGACAGCAACCAGGCAACATGGAAAGTCCTACTGAAGACCTACTGAAGAGCCAGAGTCAGACACATGCACATGTGTGACACCTGCAGGATCTGAAACATTCAGGTAGGCAGGTAGGTGGGTAGACGGACAGACAGATCAATGGGTTTATAGACACAAATGGGCCTGGTCTGTGCAGAGGTAGATACATATTCTATGTAGGTGTTTTTTCACATCTCTCCATTTATAGACGCCTGCTCATATCTGTCAATAGATACATGTGTGTGCATTCCTAGATATGGGTATTTATGCAGATGAGATGGAGTTATAGGCCATAAGTTTAATATACAGTGTGTATGATATACATAATTGTGTATATATATATACAAGGTAACTAATGCATAACTATATATGTGGCATATGACTGTGTCTATATCTACATAAACCTATGTCTAGATGAATAATGGATGGATGAATAGACATACAGACAGACAGGATAGATGGATACATGGCCAATAGGCAAATGGACAGAGGATTGATGGTTGGGTGGATAGACAGACAGATGGTTTACAGGCAGAAATAGCCGCAGAAGGGTATCCCACAGTTATGAGCATGCATAAACTGTCCTACTGAGGGTGGTGGACATCCTTTACATCACTCAGGTGTTCACCGCCTTCCTTTTTAATTAGTTTACTGTTTCCCTTTCATCTGTATTGATTTTCTAATTAAAGTGCAATTGATGCTTGTTTCCTAGTGTTTGGCATCACAGAGAGTGGGGCAGCCCTCGCTTCGTTCCTCCCACTCTGGCCACTGCTCAGAATTTCATAGAACAGATACTCAAACTGAGCCCTTCCCTCCCCACTGTGCTCACCCCCACACACTGTGCTCACCCCCCCACACAGTGCTCACCCTTCTCACAATGCTCCCCACAGTGCTCACCCTCCTCACAGTGCTCACCCTCCTCACAGTGCTCCCCACTCATGCTTACTCCCACACACATACCATGCTCACCTCCCCACACTGTGCTCACACACACACACACACACACACACACACACACACACACACACCGTGCTCACCTCCCCACACTGTGCTCTCTCTCTCTCTCTCTCTCTCTCTCACACACACACACACACACACACACACACACCGTGCTCACCTCCCCACACTGTGCTCTCTCTCTCTCTCTCACACACACACACACACACACACACACACACAC